TCACCCTTGTCTGGGTGTTATCTTGGTTTTGTGACAGAGCTGTGACACTCCCGGTTTGTCATGTGTTTGTGCGTAGTCTGGTCTGTTGTGAGCACATGGCTGTCATGTTATTTCCTTGTGCCATGTGCTCTCTTGTCAATTGGTTATACCTCGCCCATCTTGTTATCTCATTGTTTAATTTCCCCTATCTGCCTGCCTCGTTACCCTCTTATGTTTGTTCCCCAAATTAGTCTCTCTGTGTTTGCAGTCCTTTGCTTGTTCCATGTTCCTAGTGTTTCCAGATCTTACCTGTTATTGTTCTTGTTTTTTCCCCCATGAGGGAGTTTTGTTGGTAGTTTGTGCTATGTTAATAAATGTTTACCCATTGTTCTTGCACTTGAGTCTTCACACCTTAATCTACCCATTCTGTGACACTTGGCATTAACATGCAATCATTATGATCCAATCAAGCAGATCGGATCGGATCAGGGCACGTTTACATTTGTTCACATGCTGTATCTGGATAACCGATCAGATTTCTGTTTCCTGCATTATATTTAAATTAGGTCTGTGGCATGACACCAGATTAAGAGTAAAGTTGATACCATTTAAACAATGTACCTATTGCTTTCACTCATTCACTTTACTTGCCTGTGCAATTTCCAGTCTTAGATTAAATTAAGTTTTTGTTGAACAAAGGAATGCTTCCAGAGTTGATCATACAAAAATAACTGGGTTGATCATGTTAAACAAGTCACATCATTGATCATCTGGGTTTAAGGTTATAGCGTGCAATGACAGTGACAGAAATGGGAGATTGATAAGCATGCTAAAACAATGAAAACATTCAACATTTAAAACATTAAACAATTCTGATTCCGATTATTCCTCGGCAAAGCAGCATGCAGCTTTTCATGTGATTCTTGGAATAGTTGCTTCCTATCACTTCTTTGAATTCAAGAGCTTGCAGCAAAATGTGTCTTGTTTTATGTTGTTGTTTATTTCAGTCCCCTCTATTATCCTAAGTATTTTATAACAACTATATTATTATTATTATTATTAAATGAATATTGCACATTTTAGCACTACAAATTTACAGATGTATGATATTAATCTCTATTGTGGCTGGAGCAGTCAATATGGGACACTTTTGCACGTCCAGTTCTCTTCCATTAAAGCAATTTGTTGCAAAAGTGTATGGGAGAAAATAACATAGTACACAAGGCCTTTTATTCAGATAGACATTTAGTTGTATTTTACACTATCATGTTAAGTTATGTTTGTAAAGTTAGCAAACTGTAAAAAAGGGACTAAATCTTATTTTTTTTTTATATATTTTGTAAAATATGTACAATAAATATGTAAAGCTGTATAACACACTGAAAGGAAAAAGGCCATCAATTGTTTTTTTTTTTTCAAATAATTCCTTAGCTTTAGAGATTATTTTGTTTTTGATAATTTTTTTACAAGAAAAAAAAACACACAGAAACAATTTCCTCATTCAAAAACTGTGAACTCTGGAAGAGCCAAATAGTTCCTCACAGCATGGCATTTTCTAGTTATTTTAGAGGGGCTTATCTTAAAATGTACATTTTCTATTGAAATAGATGTGGATATAAATTAAAACATGAAATTATAGGGTTAATTGCTTAAACTATCTGAGAGTAGCCTATTCTACAGCACCACTGTGTTTAACCAGCTTCGTCACAATAGCTGTATTACTGTTACCTGAAAGTAATATACTGATTTTGCTTGATGTTTGTAACAGGGCCTTTGAGCTTTATTAACCAGCAGGAGCAATCCATCAATAATTGTACTGCTCCACTGCCACTGCAAAAAAGTCATTTCCAAAAACCAGTGAACTGCACGAGCCATACTCTGGAATATGGCAGTACAACGATTAGATGAGTGAGCAAGGACTGTCTGCACTTTAATACAGACCAGTGACTGTATATACTGTAGTCAGTCACGCTTAAGGACAGGATTTGTGTTACTTACTTCTGATAAGATTAAATATCCCTTTAAATATGAGTTAAATATAAATAGGCTTGTCAGTAACCATTTTTTCACTTGATCTGGGACAAAGATGTCACAGCGTGTACCAAATAATAAGAAAAACTTTCAGAACATACAACCTATACAGTAGAGGGGGTAGTGCTGAGAACGTGATAGATTGTTCAAATTAGGTTAAAATAGACAGTTAACATCCACTCCTTCTGCTTGGTCTTTCAATTGTATCTTTGTCCACCCTGATAAATGACTCTATCAGGCTTTACAAGCACACATAATGTCTGCATAGTTGTTCTGGCCACAGTAGGCTAATCAATTCGAAATCCTATCTGAGAGAATGGTGTTCTTCTATAATGTATCACCTTAAAGTGCACGGGGAAGTATTCGATTTGACCGTCACCAAACTGGCCGGCAAGATCCAAATAGAACCTTTTACCAAAGATGTATGAGCTGTTTTATCCCTTCTGTACCAAGAGTGTTACTTTATCCATTGTGGAGGCCATGCAATAGAAGTGTCAAAGGAGACAAGTAATTCCACACAATGATAGCAGTATCACAGTTACCAGTGTCCTTGTGGAAGCTGTTAGTATGTACTTGTTGCTAACACTGTCGTGTGTGTGTGCTGACTCTATGAAGAAAATGGTTATGCCATCAGAAAACCAATATACTGGTGATGACTTCCAACAGAGTGGCATAGAGGATCTTCTTCCAGTGCCTAAGGCAAGAAGAGAAATCCAAAACAATTATTTTTAGTATTATCTGGACTTTGCAAGCTCCCTGGTTTTCAGTACTGGTGATATGGCAAATATGAACTTTTTGGATATTCTTGGCCATTTTTTTCTTCTTTTTTGTACATTCTCATTGTAATGGACAAAATCACCACTTTTTAGTCTGGAATCTTAACTTATGGAAATCATTTGTATCACTTCAGAAAATTTACAATATAATACAATTACAAAATATGGTATCACTTTACTTGAAGGGGCACGAAACATGTTATGAATATGAAGGTTTTATGCATGTTTATGACAACTGTCATTTACTCAATTATGTCATTTTTAATACAAACATGACATTGTTTGAGATGTCTTTGTTATGACAACTTGACGTAATCCAATACAGTATAACCTAAGTCATTATAACTTGAAATAACAGTATATTTGGTAATTTGACATTACCAAGGCAACATAAATTGTCATAAATATGTAATCAACATGACATAGCAGATTAATTATCAAACTTAAAGAGCCCCTATCATAGCATTTGAAATGTTCCTATTTTTGTTTTAGGAGCTCCCAAAAACAATTTAACATGCATGCAAGGATAAAAAACACTTTATTTGTCTTATAATATGCATTTATTTTTAACTGATTTGCTCACCGACTCCCAAATGATTTGTACAACGACTCATTTTTCAAAACCACTCGTTTGTGTGATGCTAATCGGCGGTGATTGGGCAGATGACTGACCAAGTCAGTTATTGTTTGTTAGAATAACGCATTAACATATTGATAAAGCACTGCAGTACTACAAGACGCTCTATTCTTTATGACAACTCCAATAACAGCGACAAACATTTCACATATTTAAAAAAAATTGACATTGGAGACCTAGAAGCTGTGCTGAGCATAACTTACACACACACACACGCACGCGCGCGCACACACATACTTATTGCACATTCCCTCCTCACGCCCCGACGCTACAAAACCGTTCAAAACCCATAAAAGCAACAATTATTAATAATACTTACAGGTTTTGATTCGGAGGAGGAAGATGATCCATATACACTGGGTAAGTAAGTTACTGAGCCCTCCTTCAGGACCAACCGCTTGCGAATCCACATTTGAATTGATTTATGTTTTTGAACGATTTGTCATTAAAATGAGAACATAATTGCGCTATACTGTTGTGGTATCGTTGCAAATATGAACTCTAACCACCGATTCTTCACATGCTCGTCCCTGGTAAATGAAAACAAAGTGGCTGAACTGTCTTTGCATTGTAGAACACAGCGTCTTCTCGACATGATGCTATGATGAAGTATTTGAATGTGTAGACTTCAAGTTTACACTTCCGTCTGCACGCGCAGTAACTGGGCGTGGCCAATATGTCTCTACGTCTCGACGAACCAGCTAATGACTCGTTTCAAAAACAATTCATTTCATAGACTCAGAGTCGACTCTCACTTTTGAAAGAAAATAGCTTTATATACGGTGCACTTCTCAGATAGGGCTGGGCGATATGGCCAAAATTTCATATCCCGATATAGCTCATTTGATATCCCGATAACGATATAGATAACGATATAGCAATTTTTCTGTTAATTCAGTTCATGAATAGTCTATATAAAATTGCAATGTGGAAATGCAGTTTGAAATGATATACAAAACAAATAAAGGTAGGGACTAAATATTTATTTTATTTAGAACCTTTTTTTCAAGCAAGACATGTTGGTAATGTTAACACCTGCCTGCCATTAAAACATTTCAACATATAGCAGCAGCCAACTTTTAACAGTAACACCACCCAGACTTCTCTTGTAGCATCATGTAGGTGTAAAGATGTTTCAAAGTAGTATTCTTTGTTCTCTAGAGGGGGCAATAGAAAGCAACGACAAATATTGATAATGGCCTGTCTATTCCTATTGGATATAAAAAAGTAACAAACTGAAAACCTCTGAGGTTTAAAGAGCATGGTGCAGGGTAAAATACCAAAGGTAAACTTTAAAGTTTAAAGTGCAGCCACAAAGTCAGCCTCAATATATTTTTTACAAAATCCAACAAGTGAAAAAACCTTTCAAGTTTGAATGGTAGCAGCAAACAAAAGTAATACAGGCCTTCTGCCATAGCCCCTAAAAATAAATGTTGGTTACAAAATACTACACACGGAGACTTTAAGTTTAAAGTGTAGCTGCACAATGATTAGAATATTTAAGAGGTAAACCAAAGAACTTCAAGTAGGATGGATATGAATTATGAGAACATAAAGATTTGCCAAATCTAAGGCTTCTACAGGTTGAGTGTGAGGAATACAAGCTGGTCAACTCTTGCTGGTTTCAGTGCTGACCTCTGGCATGACACAATGTTCCCACTTGCACTGAAAGCCCGCTCTGATGGTGAACTTGTGGCAGGGATACATAAATATTTCCTCGCAAGCTTGGCCACTAGGGGAAAATGTACCTCATTTCTCTTCCACCATTCCAGTGGTTCTGTGTCTGGACCTGCTTCCATTAGGAGATAGAGGCTTAGCTCCTTTTCAATTGACTCTCTGCTTGAAGTTGAATGTGGAGCCACTTGGCTTGGCTTTGCTGATGTTTTAAAATAGCTGCTCAAACTCTTCTTTTTCTTCTTAGCAGGAACCTCCTCTTGCTCATCCTGACCTGCGGCAGTGACTGATGGAGCTGATAGAGGGACTGCCTCTGTTTGTTCAGCCACCAGCTTCTGTAGCTCTGCAGCAGCTCTTGTTTTGATGTAATCCACCCTCTCTTGTTTGATGTACGTGGTTTTGAATCGAGGGTCAACAAGAGAAGCCATGTCAAGCAGGTCCTGGGTTGTCTGGTCATCATACTTTTCATTTAAGTATTTTAGTATGCCCTCTTTTATAGTCGTGGTGAGCTCAGTGTCACCATCCTGATGCTTGAGTATCTGGTTCTTGAACAGATGGAGGACGGGTTTCAAGTAGGAAACACTTGGGTAAAGCTCCCCAGACAAGGCATCTGTAAACTCCTTGAGAGGACTCAGTGCCTTGTTCATGGATTCCAGAACGTCCATATCCTGCCAAGTTGGGACCAGGTGACGTGTCTTTTTGTCGGCACGGAGAACTTGTGAGAGAGCTTTCTCCTGCTCGATCACCCTTTCAACCATTGCTTGCATAGAGCCCCACCTCGTAGGGGTTTCTGTGATTAGCTGATGAGGCGGCAAGGGTGGATTTTGATCTGCTTGAGCCTTGGCCAGCTCCCGTCTTCTTTTCCATGAATTGGAGAAGGCATCCACAATCTTCTTGCAGACGCCGACTGCTTGTTCCACCTCCCTTAGTTTCACACTCCTCTCTGTGTATATAAAGGAGAGGTAAATGTATGATTGTGTACTTTTTAACATGACAGTGTACAGGACTAGTAAAATGTATTAATTAATTACATTTTATGAATTAATTTATATATATCGCATAATGTGGATTTTCATCTCAGTTACAATTTTTTAAAACCGTGCAATTCTATCACATAAAAAGACATTGTATCTTATGATTATGAAATTTTTATTCCATAACTTTGATTTCATCTTCCTATAGTTTTTATAATTATGACTTTTTACCTTATATGTCAATCTAATTTAACTTTTTTTTTACTATATTTCTGTTGATTTTAAAAAACAAAACACATGTTGGGGTAATAAACCTAATTGAATACTTTATTTGTGAATGATTTATTACATTTTTAGACAAGTTATGTTGCTGATAGATGGACGATAATCGCACGATATTGTTATGCGCATCTAATCAGTAAAGCCGGTTCCTTGATTAGTAGTAAATCACCTTCATCTGCTTTCAGATGGAGCGGCATTTACTACAAAGAGAGGTAGTTAACTGACAAGCTGAGCCAAATCGCGTTAATATCGAGGACGTATCGCCAGCGATATTTAATGCGATATGGCTCAGCTTGTCAGTTAATTACGGCTCTTCGTCACGACAAAATCGCCCGTGTTAAACTAACACACCTGGGAGTGTATATGAGTCCACAGACAAGAGTGTTAAAGATAATGAGATAATTAAGTGAATAAATGAGTGATGATTGAGCATTATTGAAGACACCTAAAGCAGAATCACAAGGAGAATATCTAAAATTCTAAGGGAAGAACCTTTTAAGAAAAATTGCTCTAAGGTATTACTGACTGTGTATGTACTGAAACATATTTGTATTATTTTTATATCGATTTAGAGATGAAGCACTCACCAATAGCTAGTTGAAGACGGTGGCCAAAACACTGTAGGCGTGTCATTTCATTCAGCTGAAGGGCAAGGATGTTGTTGGTGGCATTGTCTGTGGTGACACAGACAAGGCGATCCTCTTGCAGTCCCCACAATTGAAGAGATTCTCTGAGTCCTTTGGCTAGCATTTCTCCAGTGTGGTCTTCCGGGAAATAACTTGTCTGTAAACAGCGGCTGCAGAGGTTCCAATCTCGGTTGATAAAGTGTATCGTCAGGCTCATATATGGATGTGTCGTTCGGTTCGACCACATATCTGTAGTTGTAGCGTAGAACATCCCCTTGTGAATCTCTGCCTCCACTTTGGCCTGACATGCATCATATAAATCAGGTAACACAACTTTAGTAATGTGTTTTCGGCTGGGCATTTCACGAGTTCACACTTACATATAATTTGAGTGAGTAAGATTCAATGCGTATTTGGCGTGCTGTCCGGAGGGAGGGCTCCGAGCTCGGAATTCAGCCCGAACCCAGAGTACTCCCCCCGTATGTAAGTGATTTTTAGAAAGAGGAGTGTGGAGAACTAGGAGTGTGGAGAAGGGGTGGAGGAGGGATGCTGCAAACTGTTAATGGATCGAGGTAAGACTGCTGAGTCTATTTGTACCCTCTTATCATTGATTGCTGATTGCTGTCCACTCGTGTCAATTATCTGAACGTGCTCCTCCCGAACTTAGTTAATAAAACTTCATTTCACGAGTTCACACTTACATATAATTTGAGTGAGTAAGATTCAATGCGTATTTGGCGTGCTGTCCGGAGGGAGGGCTCCGAGCTCGGAATTCAGCCCGAACCCAGAGTACTCCCCCCAATAGGCAAGAAGCAGAGGACAGCCGCCGGACTAAAGACCCCCCGATGAGTGCCGAGATTGGCGGGCTGGCGTCGTGAGAAGGGGCCTGGATGCTCGATCGGGGAGGCCCGTGATGGTGGCTCACAGCCTGGACTGCCCTCTGAAATGAAAAGGGAAAAACGTGAGTGCTCTACAGGGATTTCAACTGCATCCGCTGTGAGACCAAATGCTCGCTGGATGAAGAGAGAAAATGTAATGCTCTACTGGGAGAGTTCTCACTCCGTCCGCTGAGAGACCAATGCTCGCTGGACGGAAGGAAGAAACTGAGGAGAGGAAAATGAGTGCTTTCCTAGGAGATTTTCTCAAACTGCATCCACTGTGAGACCAAATGCTCGCTGGATGAAGAGAGAAAATGTAATGCTCTACTGGGAAAGTTCTCACTCCGTCCGCTGAGAGACCAATGCTCGCTGGACGGAAAGAAGAAACTGAGGAGAGGAAAATGAGTGCTTTCCTAGGAGATTTTCTCAAACTGCATCCGCTGTGAGACCAAATGCTCGCTGGATGAAAAGAGAAAATGTAAGTGCTCTACTGGGAAAGCTCTCACTCCGTCCGCTGTGAGACCAATGCTCGCTGGACGGAAAGAGGAAACTGAAAAGAGGGAAGAATGAGTGCTTGCCCAGGAGATTTTCTCACACTGCATCCGCTGTGAGGCCAGATGCTCGCTGGATGGAAGAGAAAAATGTAAGTACTCTACTGGGAAAGCTCTCACTCCGTCCGCTGTGAGGCCAATGCTCGCTGGACGAAAAGAGGAAACTGAAGAAAGGAAAAATGAGTGTTTGCCCAGGAGATTTTCTCAAACTGCATCCGCTGTGAGGCCAGATGCTCGCTGGATGGAAGAGAAAACGTAAGTGCTCTACTGGGAAAGCTCTCGCTCCGTTCGTTGTGAGACCAATGCTTTTCTCCTTACCCGATGAGGGTTTGGTGGGCTTTTTTTAATGTGGAACCGATTGGTCCTGATGTAACTTTGGAAAGCATCAGAGGACCATCTCCCAAGGGCTTGGATCTGCTGTTGGGAGAGTCCTTTTTGGGCTGCTGAAGTTGCTGCCCCGATGCGAAATGAGTGGCTAGAAAAATTCTTTGCTGGAATGCCTGACTGTTGGAGAACAGATTTAAGGTGTTTCTGGAACCAAAAACGTGTCACGGGTTTTTTGGATTCGTCTAAAAACAGGGGTTCCAAAGGAGATTTAGCCTGAGGACTTCTCCATTGCAGATATGCCAGAATTGACTGGTATGGTTGGATTTGCGAAGCGAGGTTGAAAATGTAAATGAAATGGCCTTTTTTTGGTTTGGTCAGTCTTACTTTGTTTAATCAAGTATGAAATGGTTTCGCCATCAATTACTGATAAGTCTGAGATGGTGGGGTGGATTTTTGGGTCGAATTTAGAAGTGATGGCGATTTCTGAACATCTGAGAAAACCAAAAAAGGCTAGGATAAACATGGCATCGAGTGTGCGAGCGGAACTAAGGGGCTGGTAACCTGAACGGAGAACCTGAATACATTTGGTGAGAATGTCCAGCGTTATGGGTTGTCTGGCGTCGGGGCGGGTGGGCTGGGATCGTTGAATCCCTTTAATCAGGAGAGAGGTTTATCTCCACGGAAGGACTGCCATACATCAGTTTATGGAAAAACTGGATGCCGCTCAAATAACCTTTAATGGACCCGACTTGTAGGCCTTTAATGCTATTAAGGTAGGAGATAAAAGAGGTGATTGAAAGAAGAGAAAAATCAGGGAAAGATAAGTTATAAGAGACATGAAATGTTTTAAAACATCTCCAAGCAGTGACGTAGGATTGAAGGGTCCTGGGAGATACTGCTTGGAGGATACCGTCAAGTGATGCTTCGAGCAGTGGTTTTAACGGGTGGGTTACGGGAATATTAGCTCTGAATAGCGAGGAACTGGAGTTGGGAATTGATCCGCCTCTGGAGCCAGCGTCCTGAATTTCTGGAATAGAAAACGAGACAGGGAGTCAGCGATTTGGTTTTTTGACCCAGGGATGTGTTTAGCAATGATAATGAATTGATCGCAAGCTGAGATCCAGGTGAGACGCCTTAAGAGTGGCATCAGAGCGGGTGAATGGGAACGGCCTTTGTTAATGCAATGTACTGTTGCTTCATTGTCACAATGCACTAAAACGCTGCTAGCGGCCCATTCTTTCCCCACAGAAAAGCTGCTACTACGAGAGGGTAGAGCTCGAATAAAGCTGAGGATTGGGTTATGTCCTGAAGCTGCGGAGGCCATGGAGCCGCGAACCAACGACCTTGATAAAATCCCCCGAACCCGATTGAGGGTGCGGCATCTGTGAACAATTGGATGTCAATGGGGGATGAAACGAGGTTGTTGTAGAAAAAGGAAAGGCCGTTCCATTGTTTTAGAAATGTTAACCAAAGCCTGAGTTCGTCGCGACATGCTTGAGTTAGAGAGATGCGGTCTTCTAATGAATGGACAGAGGACGCGAGTGAGAGGAGATGCGAGATGAAGGGGCGGCCTTGCGGGATGATGCGTATTGCGAAGTTTAAATGACCGAGCAGGGACAGGAGTTCGCGTTTTGAAAAATTGGATTTTTCAAGGAAAGTAGAGGAGACGAGGATTATTCGGTCGATTTTTTCTTTGGGGAGGGATGCTTGAAATTTGTCCGAATCCAAATTAATTCCTAGGAACTCGATGGACGTTGCAGGGCCCATGGTTTTTTCCTGTGCAATAGGAATTCCTAGCTCAGAGAAAACGTTTTGAACCGTGAGAATGTGCGCCGCTGGAATAGCATCGGGAGGCGAGATTATTAAAAAGTCGTCTAGCAAGTGAATGAGGTAAGGGATGGCATAGTTGTTCGACAGGATCCAACAAACGGCTTCTGATAGCATGTCAAATATTTTGGGGCTGCTTTTGCAACCAAATGTTAAACGGACGGCAAAATAATATTTCCCGAGCCAGCAAACTCCAAATAGATGCCATGAACCTGGATGGATAGGCATTACTTTGAAAGCAGAAGTAATGTCGATTTTTGCAAGCCAAGCACCCCGACCTGCGATTTTTATCATGTCGATAGCCTGATCTATGTCGTGGTATTTGAGCGAAAATTCATCGAGAGGGATCAGGCTGTTTATGCTTGGGAACGGAGAATTGTGCGGGGCTGACAGGTCAATTATTAGGCGTTTTTTACCCGAGAATTTCCTTGTAGCCACTCCAATGGGGCTGACACGAAACGGATTGAATGGAGGATTGTCAAACGGACCGATCATGAAGCCAGACTCAACTTCTTTTTTGATCAGTTTTTCTACAACTTCGGGTTCTGTCAGGGCGGATTGGAGGTTATTGCATATGATGTTTTGAGAAAGCGGGCATTCTAAGCCGGGTTTAAAGCCGTTTTTTAAACCTGACAGCAGATAATCGGTAAATTCGGTATTTGGGTGATGAGCTAGTTCGTGTTGCATGCGCGAAATATTCACAGGAGTCGCCAAATAATTTTTAGATTTTTTATTCACAGACTTGAAGACTGGACATACAATGCGAGCATGGGCGCCGCCACAAAAGCTGCAGATGTGCATGTAGCGGCAGCGCGCTCTTTGACATTTGCCTGCGTTGAAGTGATTACAGGGCTGCCTGCTTTCGTCAAACGTAGGATCTTGAATTGCGCTGGTGGTTGCTGCACGCGGCACATAGCTGGTGGATTTATTATTACTTATTCCCACAAAGGGAAGAGAGGTAGTGTTAACCTGTGGGCATGTTGCGGTTGAGTGAGCCACTGACCTGCAAACTGCACAGGTAATGTTTTTGCAACCTAAAAATACCCTGCTGTGAAGATCAGAGTCGAGTGCACCCCAGTATGTGCACTGATTCCATTGTGCGACTCGCACGGCACTTTTTGCAGAAAAAAGTTTATGGTACGTGTAGAAATGCCCTCCCCCATAGGACAGCGCGAGTTCGGCAATGATTGCTTGATAATCGTTCAGTTCGCGCCGCCTGTGGGGGAAGGCTGAACAGACGATTTCCGTGTAACGTGAAAAAGCAATCGTAAATTCGGGAAATGAGAGGACGCGAGATGAGTGTGTGTTTGTGTTTTTCAGGGTCACTGAAAAATCGCCGCAATCCACTTGGCGGTCTGATTCGGCTGCAGGTAGGAGAGACAACAGAGTGGAGAGGTCTATGTCCATACCTGAGAGGATCTGAGCGCGGATGGATTGAGAAACCGGTGGGGGTTCCATGGCAACTGCATTGAGCGGAACAGGCATCGGAGTGGCTGTGAAAAGAGAATATGGTGATTTAGTTTGTATAATGGAACTGGGAAGGGTATTATCCGGGGCTGCGATTGACGGCTGTGCCCTCGCGATTGGATGACCTGTTGTAAAATTAGAAGGAAAGTTAGTTGGAGGATATGAGGGATGATAGAAAGCGGTGTGAGGTTGTGCTGCAAGCGGAGGCGGGCCTGCGCTTGCTTGAGCTACTGGAGCTGCAGGCCACTGGAAGTGGGCGGGGTTGTAACCTGTTGGGTAGACCTGTTGTTGACATTGTTGGGTCTGTGATG